ACAGTACACTACATAAACCCCCATGCAAGCTGAATAACGTCTCCTAACTTCATTAAGCAGAACGCTACAATTGGTGTCAGAAGTGACAGACTTTTTCACCTACAGGGCTCCCCTCACTACAGGCTAACCTACGGCTAGCATCGCCTGTACCTGCTGTGTTTACATAACCGGTGAGGAGCATGCTACCGAGAAAATCACCGCTGCTAATGAAAGAGGAGGAGGAGGAGGACAAGCTGGACTATTTCGGCGTGGCCGCAGCCCAGATTGCATCAGAGCACAGAGAGCGGGTGAGAGACATGGCCATGAAATTACCCGAAGAGGCTCGCTTGGGCTCCCCACGCCGCTCCGGAGACGAACGCGCCAAAATGGTTGACTCAACAGCGGCCTTATTCATGGATACATCCGGACATGTAGAGCCACGCAGAGAAGCCCCTCCGCCCTCCATAAAAACTCCCACGTATGATGGAAAAGCTGATTGGGAAGCTTTCCATGCACAGTTTGAACTGTTAGCCCAAGCTGCTAAGTGGACCATCGGAGAGAAAGCCCTTCAGCTGGCAATGTGTTTTACTGGTGATGCACTGTCGAGCTTACTGTTGTTAAGTCCTGCTGATAGAAGTGAGTATGAGGCTCTGGTTGGAGCTTTGAGAAGGCGGTTTGGACTATGCTCAGCAGCTAGCCTGCTACGCTCCGAACTGTGCAGCCGCCAGTGTCGGCCTGGGGAGCCGCTGAGAAAGTTGGCTAATGACATTGAAGGACTAGTCCACCGCACCTATGCTCACATGCCACCCACCATACAAAGTGAATTAGCCCAAGACCACTTCCTCCAAGCTATGCTACCTGCTGACCTCCGGGTGTAAACACTGTTAGATCATCCCAGGTCCCTCCAAGAAGCTCTGGAATTGGCTTCAGAGAGAGAAATGCTATCCGCTCACCCCTCAAAGGTAACAGTTGACCCATCACTGAAGGTGAGAGCTGCAAGTGTGACTGAACTGAACAAAGCTGAACCTGCCCGGGTGGCTGAGTTGACCCAGCTTGTACGAGCTGCCACATTGAAGGAGGGGCAGCAAACCGGGCCTCGCCTGAGAGTGTGCTGGGGATGTGGACAGCCTGGCCACCTAGTCCGTCACTACCCACACGGCCCGATGAATAAGGGAAACGGGATGGGGTCCGCATTAACGGGACTGTGTGGCCCCCCCAGACTGCGTCCCGACGGTTACCAGGTGTGGTGACATTAAAGCAAACCGACCACATGGGGACTTCACAGGCCATGGGTGACCTTGAAGGCGAACTGGAGTTGTGGTGCTGGGCCGGACCTGGGTCGGGGACTGTTGGTACGCCCCTTTGACTGTTGGAAAGACGGGCTGCTCTGCTTTAGTGGACACAGGCTCTTCAGCAACTCTGGTGAGACCTGACGTGTTGGACAGTGTAACCACTTTCTCCCCCACCTTGTTCAAGCTTCAGACAGTCACAGGGTTGGAGAGACCGTTGTGACACTTGGCGTGGGGAAGAAGTCCGTTCGCTGCCCGGTGTGGGTCGCGTCCCTTGATGACTGCATACTGGGGATAGATGTTCTTGGGGCTTTGGACTGTGTTATTGATACAAGGAGGGGGACCCTGACTTTCCCTGATGGACATGTCATTCAAATGCACAAGCGACTACCCCAACCACATTGCCCTATGACTCATAATGTTACACTGCTGACGGTGGACATTGCATCTGATACAGCTACAGACCACACCTCCTTCCCCAGCCTGCTCATGCCTACCACCTGCAGCCCACCCACCATTATCATTCAGCCAGAGCTGGCTTCATCTGTGTCACAAGCTTCCTCTGCCCTTCCACAAATTATTTTCCCACCAGCTCCTGCCATGGGGGACAGAGTTTTGGCTGTGAGGGAGGTTTGGAAAAATAACCCTGATGGACTGTCCTCCAAGGAACAGGATCTGCTGTGGCAGCTTCTGCTTGAGTTCAAAGACTCTTTCTCACTGTCAGGAGATGATGTGGGCCACACAGATCTCATCCAACACAACATCGAAATTGGGGATTCACAGCCCATTAGGATGAGACCTCGGCGCCTTCCCCTGGCAAGGCAAGCGACGGCTGACAAAGCACTGCAGGAGATGCAAAGAGCAGGACTTACTGAGCCATCCAACAGCTCCTGTCGCCGGCTCTGCTATACTGACGGCTGCTGATACTGTGGACCCAGAAAGTCGAACCGTAACCCCCCGTGAAATGTGCTGCAGTGGGCCTGGAAGTTCAACCGATCAGCCAGGGAGCAATGGCTGTAGACGCCACAGAGTGGATACGACAACAGGCGGAAGATGGAGACATCAGACCGGTGCTCACGTGGGTGGAGTCCCTGTCCCGACCCCCATGGGAGGAGGTCACTATGAACTCTCGAGCCACGAAGGGCCTTTGGTCCATGTATGAGGCCCTGCGTTTGTACGAGGGGGTGCAAAGGGGTTGGAAGGAACCTGCAACAGGTGAGATAAGGTGGCAGGTGGTGGTCCCAAGGGCCCTGAGAGAGACAGTGCTCCGAGCAATGCATGGAAGCCCAGGGTCTGGACACTTCGGGGTTGCCAAAACATTCCGACGCCTCCAGCAGGGATTCTACTGGGGTCAACAGAGGCGGGACGTGGAAGACTACTGTCGCCGCTGCGACAGTTGCACGGCACGTAAGGGCCCTACAGACAGGTCTCATGCCCATCTCCAACAGTTCCCAACGGGGTCCCCAATGGAGAGAGTGGGGATTGACGTCCTTGGATCATTTCCCTGCACAGATAGGGGGAACCGTTACATCCTCACTGTGATGGACTACTTTACTAAGTGGCCGGAGGCATACAGCCTGCCAGACCAGGAGGCAGAGACTGTAGTGGACACACTAGTGGAGGGAATGTTCAGCAGATTCAGGGCCCCTGAAATCATCCACACCAACCAGGGCAGGAACTTTGAGTCACGGGTGTTCGCGTGCATGTGTGAGAAACTGGGCTCCCATAAGACCCGCACTACACCCCTGCACCCACAGAGTGATGGGTTAGTCGAGAGATTTAACCGTACACTGGCGCAACAGCTAGCAATTGTGACGGCCAAACATCAACGTGACTGGGGCGCCCACCTTCCCCTTGTGCTTATGGCGTATCGGTCTGCTGCCCAGGACTCCACTTCCTGCTCCCCTGCACTACTGATGCTAGGTAGGGAGATCTGTACCCCAGCAGAAATGATGGTGGGTAAACCTCCTGATGCTCCTCTGGACCCCCCAGGGCCCGACTACGCGTGGAGACGTCAAGATCGCTTGGAGTCTGCTCATGAGTTCGCCAGAGATCATCTTCTGAGGGCGGGAGCGAGACAGAAGAGGAACTACGACGTACATTCCATGGGAAGGCATTTCACTGCTGGAGAATTGGTCTGGGTGTACAGTCCTCAGAGAAAAAAGGGCAGGTGCCCAAAGTTGGACAGCAAATGGGTGGGTCCCTGCAGGATCCTGGAGAGACTGGGGGAGGTGGTATACAGGGTTCAGCTGCCCCCCAGAGGAAGGAAGGTTGCACTGCACCGGGATAGGTACAGGGGCTCCATACAGGGGCACTGCCACACCACAAGGACCGGTGGGCGTGTCACATGGATCACTGGACACTACCCTGACCCCTGAGCAAGGGCCCTTCAACAACACGAGTGCCTCAGCTTCCCCAACACAGACAGAACTGCACTCACCTTGCCCAACTTCCCCTTCCCTGCCTCACTCTCCCTTTCTAACCTCTGACTTTCCCTTGGTTCCCCTTCCCTGATCCTGAGGCCTCGGCGGCCGCAAAGAGTCTGCAGGCTTCCACCCTGTCTGAAAGACTTTGTTTGCTCCCTCGAGGGCGAGGGACCTAGTTAAGATAAGGACTGTTATGGCTGTTACTGAGTTCTCCTTAATGTCAGTGAATGTGTTAGATTGACAGCAGTGTTCTGAGAGGTCGTAAGCCTGTGCCTGTGACAGTGTCTATGCAGGTTGTTCAAGTGGGTGATTGGTCGAAAGCTGGAGGAAAGGTGGGACTGCGGGGTCTGTATCTGTGTGTGTGTGAGCTTAGCCGAGGTCTGTTGTGACTAGGAGAGAGGCTGGAGGTTTGTTATTTTGGCGTTGGCTATGGCCTACAGTAGCCTGTTTTAAGTTTGAAAATAAACCCCCATGCAAGCTGAATAACGTCTCCTAACTTCATTAAGCAGAACGCTACAATATCATCTTAATTTGATTAATCTGTTATAAACAAAAGGATAGACATCAATGTTTTCCTCATTCAAAATGGTGAAAATTATAGAGTTACGGGCAATAATTTCCAGGTTAGCCTACAGCTTTACTTCAGTAATTCCATGTGGTGCCGCTTGATTCTTATACTGTAGATCTGCTACATGTCAGAGGCATTTATTTTATTCTTCAGTTATCTGACAGCTTTAATCCACTCGCTCTGCAGATTCACATTGTAAATTGAAATGAAGCATGGAGACCTTGTTAAATTGACATTTCCATTTAGCCTACCAGCTGCACATTTAAGTGAAATATGACACATGGAATTGCCTGCATTAATAATTGTTATCAAATAGCCTACTATTGACGTACTCTGCATTATGAATATGTCGGTTTAGGTAAGCCCTATTTTTTAAAATGTTATTCTGTAGGCTACTGAAAAAGTATTTGGAATGCAGGGCTCTGAGGTGACCACTTGTCCCTGCATGGCTGTGTTATCTTTTCATTCATGGCTGCAGAAAACAATCACAGCCAACTAACCAGACGATCCAGATGCTTTCCCTTTCGGAATGAAAGCTTTACAAGCTCAAGTCCATTTACTTTGAGGCGAGCTGAGAGGACATTGGGCTTTTAATATTAACAGGACATAAACATGAGACATGTCGATTTAAGTTCAACGACAGCACCGTCAGGTTTCGGCTTGTAAATTTAAGCAGCCCCGGTATGTGGATCTGCTGTCTCCAGTGCGCGTACCCAAACGCGCATGCGTGTCTCTGCACTTCAGAGGAAGAGGAACGCGCTGTAACAGAGAAAGCGTTCCAGTAAACTGCTCTATCTGCCTGCAGACTGCATGCCACTCAGTCCCCACAGTCAACTACCCTCCGTGGTTCTTGCTTCCGCTACATTGTTCTGAGGAAGGGATGAGCTTATATGCGCACGTCAAATCACTGCTTCCACCCGTGTGTGTGCGCGCTGCGGGCTTCACCACATAGTCCTCGTTTTTCCCACGCAGGGATTGCCACCCAAAAGCAACGTGAAGTTGGTTGCAACATCAGCGTACAGTACAACAGGCTCGCTCCACGGAATAAAAGCTCATCTGTCTGGGAGCGCCGCTGGTGAGTAAAGACTGAAGGCTACAAAACGCGTTGGAGCTAACGCTGAGAAGCAGCGTGTGTGTGTCTGTAAGGAGTTGTGTGTGCAGGCTTGTAGGCAGGCAGACAGACAGACATAAACATGATGTAATGTAACTGTTCTGAATGGGTCACAAGGTATCAGATTGAATTTGACGTGCTCTGTACATTAGGGCTAGTGTCATTACTAAGATTTGTTTGGTTGACTTGTTTGATTGAAAGAGAGAGAGATTGGGATGTGATTGGATGCGTTGTGCTCGTTAAGGGAAACAACTTGTTTATTTTTTTTTAAGTTTTGTCAATCACAGTACAGTTAATATGTTCCCTTTGATCAGTGTGATTGAATCAGGCTTTAAATGCAGCAGAAGCTAACAATGGCACTTAACCACAAGCCTCCTGGCTCTCTTAATAAAAAGTTGATGAAAAAATCTGCTGGCAAATATTTCTGGTCAATGCTGAAAGTGCAGGAACAGAGGAGCTATGCATTGTACACTAAATACATTTTAATTATTTCTCATGCAATACTCCTTTGTGCTACCTACTACTGCAAATCCAGATGTTTTTTTTAGATTCTGTACTATTTTCCCAATTCACCTCGTTGTAGAGTAATGCAGCATGTGTTTACCTTTTCAAGTTATTAATTTATTTGTCACTGATGTTGCTTTTAGCCTAAAAGTTTTCACACTGCTGTGAGGTTAGTTTTTAAGGCCAGTTGAATCAAACTATTGTTTGCTGGCTTCATGACAAAGTGTAATTCATTTTTGCAGCATCCAGCTTAAGATTTTTGCTATCGAGTCATATGAACAATGAATACAAAGAAGCAGTTTCTGTTAATGACATCATTACATAAGTCAAGTAAGAATATAAGGGGTTGTAAAAAATAGGATGTTTGCGAAAAACTTAAAGGAAATTTTGACAATATTATCTCAACCTTATTTGGAGACCAAATCAAACAGAGTTAATTTACGAGTTCTTTGTGTACAGAAGTGCTGTAAAAGATCAAATGAAATAAAATAGCAACGCTGTCATTTTCACCTGAAAGCGTCATAGTGTAGTTCACTCTTCCAATTGGCCAATAAATGATTTGATCTGTATCCCTGTGTTGCCCTGTTATCTCCACAGATATCAGGAGAGTGTATTCATAAATCCATCACTGTTGGAGAGTGCTGTACTAAAAACTTTGAATATGTTAATACCTGAGAGCAAAAATGATCAAACTAGACGTGTTTCTTTGTGTTCATGTTTTATGTGACTTGTCTTGAGCAGTATCAATACTGTTTCACCTGCATTCTTAATGATGATAATTAAGTACAATAATAGACCGGTCAGAAAGCTGATGTCCTTCCAATGAATATTACAGCATGATATTAGTTTACCCATCACAATCAAGGTTTTAATTAGGACAAAGATATGAAAACATTCCTGAGCTATAGATTATCTTTTTAAGCGTAATGTCTTCGTTTGTTTTGTCCACACAGTTTACTTTTTAAAAAAATAATCAATGAGTGCTGTTTGATTATTGCTAGTTGACACACGAGCCAGCTTTCACATGACTGGAAACAGTCACTACTGTGTTCACGAGTACAACATCATTCATAACATTTCAAACAAGAAATATGTTCTTCTTGTTCACAAGAAAGAGGGAACACAAGGGAACATATATCATGAATGAACCTTCTCTTTTTAAAAAGGGACAATCCCCTTGAGGGGATTTTTTTGCGGCCCGTGACTTCAAATGAAGAATCAGAAGATTTTGGCCCGAGGCCTTGATTAAAATTGGCACATTATCTTATTTTTCTTTTTCATCTTTTTTTCACCATGTACGGTCCTCCCCGGAGTCAAACGGGACATTTGTTGTTTTATTATAGTTTAAAAACGGTGCGGACCATCGGCTACACGGTGCCGGGCTTCTCCTGGCGTACCGGGGCTGTTCTCATTGAATCCCCGCTCAGGTCGCTCACAGATGTGGGAGGGAGACGGGGAGGTGAATTTAACAACCCAGTCTCATGTCAAAATGTGTAATACCTACGTTGGTCCACAGTGCAAAACGTAGTAGTTTCACAATAATGGCTCTAAAATTGTGACATGTCTACGTTTCCTTTTTCCTATTCTTTTGTATAGACACACCTCAGGTCACATGACTGCCCAGTACATTGTATCTTCATAATCTTCGTTCGGTTTATGTTTATGATCTTTAGTTTGTTCGTTTCTATGAAGATTCTTTCAGGTGTCGATAGAGAAACGTTGAACTGTTATGTTTTCTACTGTTGCTATGGTGGTTGCTATGGACGCTATCAACAACGAACCAGAAGGAGGTGGACGTTCGGTTCGTGGCTCTTTTTTCGGCTGCTCTGGTTCCGGAATTAAATTTTCCCATTCAAATCCTCCATTGATTTTTCACAAAATCCTTATATCAAGAGATTGGCGCCTGGGACCAAGACAACAAGCTACCCCAACACTTGTGACCATAGTACATTCAATTCGGTACCAAAACGGCGTTAAAAACAACAAAGGTAAAGGTTCAAGACTGTGTACATCATTTTCGTCCGGAGTCAAGGAACTACCCATCCCACAATCCATTGCGAGTGATGTCGTTTATTCAGTTTTTCAGGTCTCGCTAGAAAAACTTACGCTATCAAACAAAAAAGGTGTATATATATATATATATATATATATATATATATTTATATATATATATACACATATACATATTGTAAAAAAAAGTGGTCAAATCAAAACTGTTTTAATAGATAGTATTAATCTGTCAGGATTATTTTGTTCAGTAAAATTATTAAATCATATAAATCACACAAACTGTACAGTATTGTCTTTATGTATTGTTACATGTTATAGTTTATAATGTTGCTAATATGCATCGATCTGTTCCAATCGTTTTATTAAATTTGGTTGTAATGAAAGACATCCATAAAAATGTAACAGAAATCATTATTTATTGCATAGGAGCTTAGTTTGATGTCTAGGGTCTGATGTAAACCCGTTTTAAGAGCCGCGAACCGAACGTCCACTTCCTTCCGGTTCGTTGTTGATAGCGTCCATAGCAACCACCATAGCAACAGTAGAAAACGCAAGAGTTCAATGTTTTTCTAGCGAGACCTGAAAGAATCTTCGTAGAAACGAACAAACTAAAGATCATAAACATAAACCGAACAAAGATTATGAAGATACAATGTACATTTGTCGCCAGAAAGGTTATCAAAATGACACTTAAGCCTCAAACTATTTTAAAATATTGCATTTTTTGCCGAAAATAGAAGGGATGTCCGCCATGTTTTTTTTTTTGCCAGGGGAAAACTGGGCAGTCACGTGACCTGAGGTATGCCTATACAAAAGAATAGAAAAAGGAAACGTAGACATGTCACAATTTTAGAGCCATTATTGTGAAACTACTACATTTTGCGCTGTGGACCAACGTAGGTATCACACATTTTGACATGAGACTGGGTTGGAATTTAATTAAACACCACCGGAGCCACAAGACTCCTCTCACCAGAGCAGGGTTTCACCGGGGCTATGCCCCACGTTCTATTGTGCGCAAACACGACTTTATAACATGTAGGGGGGAAAACACAACTCGTAGAAATTAGGTCTTGTTGAGTGGTAGCTTTACTAAGTTGGCTGTCCGACTACCGGCACCGTTGCCCGGCTTGAGTAGGCTACGACTTCCGTCTGCCAGGATTTTGAACTTGTCAGGCCCGGGACAGAGGGCTCTCTGTGGGTGAAGTGTCAGTGTTTGAAGACAGGGAGAATGTTAAACTGTTGCAAAGAGATGAGTAGCGAGTTCAACCTGGACACCGGGGATGGCGAAAGCACCAAGTGTCAGGCTGGGAAAGCGGGTGCAGAGGGATGAGTTGGAGTTGGAGCACGTAGCCCCAGAGCTAGCAGTAGCTCCAGGCATCCCGGGGCTACAGCCACAGACCCACACTCAGCTCTCGTCCCCGATGTCAAAATCCTGGTCGGACTCGCTTTATCTCCGCGTTTCAGTAACATTGAAGTTATCCTGTGTCTTTCAACGATACAACTTCCCCATCTAAACATAACTTTCTGATCCTAGCTGTCTCTCTTACTCTCTCCCGTAAATAAACCGAAGTAAACAGTTCCATAGCGCCCCTACAGGCCTGGAGCACTTCCATTTAAGGATTAACTTGCAGTGCGTTTGATGCTTATGCAGTTGTTTTGCCTATTTGCAGCGTGTTTGTGTCTTTGCAGCGTGTTTGCGTGTTTGCATTTGTTGTGGTAGTTTGCATTTGCTTTTGAATGTGCAGTGTTCCTATATATGCTGGCCGTTTTCTAAAATCTATGTCGTTTCATCAGTTGCTGATCGTTTGACCTCTACTGGCCACCGTAATTTAATGACCTGAGCTAAATGAAGAAAGCTTTTCCAAAAAAATGAACCACGTTACAGACTTGATTCTGAGAAAAAAACAAATAAAGTAGAATGAAGAAATCAAAATATTTGATTTCCTTTTATTAAAGGGTTTCTTTAGCGAGCCCTTTGATTCTGATCTACAAAGCCTTACTATTTTTTCAACTATATTTAAAAAAACAAAACCTGTGGCCCACGAGCGATTCTAACACGACAATTTTGGCCCACAAGAAAAGAAGTTTGGACACCACTGGTTTAGAGTTAGAACACGATTTAGCTAACATCACCTTTGAAGTCTGAGTTTTGACAAATGATATGGAGAGAGTGGGGTGGATGTTTGACTATAGACATCTGCCATCTGTCCAATGTGTATTGCACTTACAGTGAAGTTGTTCAATCTTGTGGAGTTTTAGGATCTCGTGAACAATGCATTTACTTCAAATTGGAAAATTATACAAACATGGTCCCATGGCTTTAATAATTTTTATTATAGTAACACCCAATAGACAAACAAAAACACAAGAGGTACACTTCACCTCTCCATAAAGCCAGGACAAAACAAAACACAGTAAAAAAACAAACAAACAAACAAAACAAAAAC